CCTGCTCACCGGTCCCTCACAGTGATGCTTAACCCATCACACAGGGAAGCATTGCCAAATCTGTGTGGATCTGTGCTGGCTCCACTGAAGCCAGCACAACATGGGCCGTCTCCCATGTTTGGATGGAAACTTCCTATGATGTTTCCACTTCGGTTGTGAGCAGGGGCTCCGCTGGAAGTCCAGTGGTATCATTTCATGGGCAGCATGCCCATCCATCACCAGGCTGGTGGGGAAGTGTCCTAGGATGCTAAAAAAGCCCCGTGTGATGAAGTTATATGTCTACTTCTTCAAACACTAGGCCTGTGCGGTTTCGTTCGTTAATTTTGTAATTCGTTATTAATTCGTTAATTTTTGCATTTACGAAGCGATATCAAAACACATTTTCAAACCCGGAAGGGTTTAAAAATATCGAACCGGCAACCCCCATAGATTTAACGAGCTTCTGCTCGTTTCGTTAATGGGATGGAGGCTGCTGGTGCCTGGGAGCCAATCCGGCGCTCCCAAGCACCCAAGCAGTGCACCGTGGCTGTTTTTGATTGGCTGGCGAGCCCTTTAAAAGTGGCTCCACGCGGCCGTACAGCTGAGCTCATTGCTGCAGAGGGCGAGGGAGAGAGAAGAGGTCCGGGAGGGTTTGCATTGGGTTGGCTTGGCTTGGCTAGCAACTGGATTGGATTCATTCCTTGCTCATTCCTTGGATTCATTCCTTGCTGCTGTGCTTAGTGCTGCTTATATTCCTTGCTTGGATTCATTACTTCGGTTTTTGTGAATTTGTTTCTTAATTTTCCATTTTTAAATATTTTTTAATATTATTTTTTAATATTATTTAAATATTATTCTTAAAAAATACAAAAAATATTCTAAAAAAGAAAAGACTCTTCTGTTGCTGTGTGCTCTCATTTGCTGTCTCCTGCCTGTGTTTGGTCCACATCAGGGCCATTTTTTGGTTCAGTTTCCATTTTTGAATATTTTTAATATTATTTTTTTTTTTAATATTATTTTAATATTATTCTTAAAAAATATTCTAAAAAAGAAAAGACTCTTCTGTTGGTGTGTGCTCTCATTTGCTGTCTCCTGCCTGTGTTTGGTCCACATCAGGGCCATTTTTTGGTTCAGTTTCCATTTTTGAATATTTTTTAATATTATTTTTTAAATATTATTCTTAAAAAATACAAAAAATATTCTAAAAAAGAAAAGACTCTTCTGTTGCTTTGTGCTCTCATTTGCTGTCTCCTGCCTGTGTTTTATCTCTACATCAGGGCCATTTTTTGGTTAGATTTTCCATTTTTGAATATTTTCTAAAAATACCTGCTTTTTATTCTTAAAAAATACAAAAAATATTCTAAAAAAGAAAAGACTCTTCTGTTGCTGTGTGCTCTCATTTGCTGTCTCCTGCCTGTGTTAGCTCTACATCAGGGCCATTTTTTGGTTCAGTTTCCATTTTTGAATATTTTTTAATATTATTTTTTAAATATTATTCTTAAAAAATACAAAAATATTCTAAAAAAGAAAAGACTCTTCTGTTGCTGTGTGCTCTCATTTGCTGTCTCCTGCCTGTGTTAGCTCTACATCAGGGCCATTTTTTGGTTCAGTTTCCATTTTTGAATATTTTTTAATATTATTTTTAATATTATTTTAATATTATTCTTAAAAAATACAAAAAATATTCTAAAAAAGAAAAGACTCTTCTGTTGCTGTGTGCTCTCATTTGCTGTCTCCTGCCTGTGTTAGCTCTACATCAGGGCCATTTTTTGGTTCAGTTTCCATTTTTGAATATTTTTGAATATTATTTTTTAAATATTATTCTTAAAAAATACAAAAAATATTCTAAAAAAGAAAAGACTCTTCTGTTGCTGTGTGCTCTCATTTGCTGTCTCCTGCCTGTGTTAGCTCTACATCAGGGCCATTTTTTGGTTCAGTTTCCATTTTTGAATATTTTTGAATATTATTTTTAATATTATTCTTAAAAAATACAAAAAATATTCTAAAAAAGAAAAGACTCTTCTGTTGCTGTGTGCTCTCATTTGCTGTCTCCTGCCTGTGTTAGCTCTACATCAGGGCCATTTTTTGGTTCAGTTTCCATTTTTGAATATTTTTTAATATTATTTTTAATATTATTTTAATATTATTCTTAAAAAATACAAAAAATATTTTAAAAAAGAAAAGACTCTTCTGTTGCTGTGTGCTCTCATTTGCTGTCTCCTGCCTGTGTTAGCTCTACATCAGGGCCATTTTTTGGTTCAGTTTCCATTTTTGAATATTTTTTAATATTATTTTTAAATATTATTCTTAAAAAATACAAAAAATATTCTAAAAAAGAAAAGACTCTTCTGTTGCTGTGTGCTCTCATTTGCTGTCTCCTGCCTGTGTTAGCTCTACATCAGGGCCATTTTTTGGTTCAGTTTCCATTTTTGAATATTTTTTAATATTATTTTTTTAAATATTATTCTTAAAAAATACAAAAAATATTCTAAAAAAGAAAAGACTCTTCTGTTGCTGTGTGCTCTCATTTGCTGTCTCCTGCCTGTGTTAGCTCTACATCAGGGCCATTTTTTGGTTCAGTTTCCATTTTTGAATATTTTTTAATATTATTTTTTAAATATTATTCTTAAAAAATACAAAAAATATTCTAAAAAAGAAAAGACTCTTCTGTTGCTGTGTGCTCTCATTTGCTGTCTCCTGCCTGTGTTAGCTCTACATCAGGGCCATTTTTTGGTTAATTTTCCATTTCTGAATATTTTCTAAAAATACCTGCCTTTTATTCTTAAAAAATACAAAAAATATTCTAAAAAAAAAAGACTCTTCTGTTGGTGTGTGCTCTCATTTGCCCTGTCTCGTGGCTGTGTTTGCTTCATATCAGGGCCATTTTTTGGTTAATTTTCCATTTCTGAATATTTTCTAAAAATACCTGCCTTTTATTCTAAAAAATACAAAAAATATTCTAAAAAAAAAAAGACTCTTCTGTTGGTGTGTGCTCTCATTTGCTGTCTCCTGCCTGTGTTAGCTCTACATCAGGGCCATTTTTTAAAAAATACAAAAAATATTCTAAAAAAAGAAAAGAGTCTTCGGTGGCTGTGTGTGCGTTTTTTGTCATTTGTGTAGTTCCAACCAGTGCGCTCCTTTTGCCAACACAAAGTGCTATAATACAGTGCTTGCTCGCTCATTTGTGTAGTTCCAACCAGTGCGCTCCTTTTGCCAACACAGAACGAATCGATTCGTTATTATCTCAATATCGAATCGAATCGTATTTAATAACGATGCTTCGGAAGCCGCTTTTGCGCATGCGCGATCGCGTCCGCCATTTTAACGAATCGATTCGTTATTATCTTAACGAATCGACCCCCGCCCCAATAACGAAGCTTCGGAAGTGTTTTTACGCATGCGCGGGGGTCCACCATCTTTACAAAATGTTTTGTAAATATTTACGAAATTTCGTAAATACCGAAACTTTTTTTGGGAAAATTTTGTAATTATTTTAAATATCGAAACAAAAAAACACCCCAATTACAAATCGATTTTAGAACCAAATTTTTTCTTGATCAACCAGGCCTATCAAACACATGTAGGACTTTACTACAATTTTGCATGACTTATAGAACACAGACCTACAACTTATGCTGATTTTCACAAAGCAGATAAACAACATTTTCCGTAGCTCCAAAAAAAGTGGCATTTACTTAATCACTCACAATGATACTACTCACAGAACTACAGCTCCCAGAATGCCTCAGCAAGCACATCCAAGGCATGCCGCCACCCGAGGCTGCAGCGTGCCTTGGATGTGCTTGCTGAGACATTCTGGGAGCCGTAGAAGTCAGGGAACTACGGCTCCCAGAATGCCTCAGCAAGCACATCCCAGGCATGCTGCTGCTTGGGGCTGCTGGGAGTTGTCATCCTGAGGTACTTCCTTGGGCCTAGGTGAGCCCAGTGGCCTTCGGAGGAGGTGAGTGGTGGGGGTGGAGGAGGACCTTGAAAGTAGAGTGGGGAGAGCTGTGGGAACAGCCCAGCAGGCCATCACCCCCGGCCAGTCTCCATGGAATGTGGAGTAATCTTAAATGGTGAATATATCCCTAATTCTGTATGCCAGAAAATACAGTAGTTTTATTGATTGAAACATTATTATGACTTTCTACCCTACATTTGAACTTCTTGGTCAGTTTGAAAAGCTGCTAATTAAACAAGAATCTTATAGTGAACCACCCCATAATACTGGCACAGCCCTTTCGGCATAACCTTTCTATCATAGTATGGCAACAATTTCTTTCTTTCTTTCTTGAATCTTGTCATTCTTTTGTGAATTTCTTTGATCCTTTGGAGATTATTTTAGGAGGTGAGGTGAGTGACCAAGCAACAAAAGTATCCTTTCCATGTTAGTAAAAATTAATCTATATATATATAAAATCCAAAAGGGCATCGCTAGGGGCCGCAAAATGCGAAAACCGCTGGACAAAAAATCACCAAACTTGGCGTATGCATACCTCAAACCACAAGGTATGCAGAACACTCATCACAACTCAAAAAACATAACAAATTCAAAATTACACAACCAAACAGAACATGCGCAGAGGAGTCCCAGTGCGAGTCGCCCGGCGCACGCACATGGCCGCACCACACCCCCTCCGCGCAAGCCATGCCCCCTCCCATCGCCGCCCCACTCCTTCCCCCATGCCAAACCGAGCGTGGCCTAGGCACCAATGCAGAAGCCCTGGCCTGGGAGTGGGAGCTCGCTCGCCTGTACACACTGGGGGCCGGCCTGGTGCATGTGCGGTGCGGGGGGCTGTCCACCTTCCACGGGCCTGGACAGCGGGTGGCCTTCCCGGGGCTGGACCAGCAGAGGCTGCCCGGGAGGCCCCCGCTGCACGCCTTCATGGCCCGCCCGGGAGAGGCTGCGGCCCGCCTCTCCCGAGGACAGCCCTTCGGCCTCCACCATGCCTGGCCCAGGCCACCCCCGCACACCGGTGTCTGGCTCCAGGGAAGGAAGGACACCGCCATCAGGGACGATGAGGAACGGGAAGGAGGGAAGGAAGCAGGTGAGGGAAGGAAGGACGGAAATGAGGGGAAGGGGTGTAAATAGGAAGGAAGGAAGGAAAGAAGGAAAGAAAGAAGAAAAGTGGGAAGGGGAAGGGAAGGTGTAGGAAGGAAGGAAGGAAGGAAGGAAGGAAGGTATATCAGAGAAGAAAGGTAGGAAATAAACAAAAGGAGGGAAGGGGAAGGGAAGGTGTATGAAAAAAGGAAGGAAGGAGAAGTTGGGAAAGTATATGAGGGAAGAAAGGTAGGAAAGAAAGAAGAAAGAGAGAGTAGGAGCATGGGAAACAAGGGAGAAAGGAAGGAAGAAGAAAGGAGTGGAAGGGAAGGTGTAGGAACGAAGGAAAGGAAGGAAGAAAGGACAGAAGAAAAGGCAAGGGAGGAAAGAAAGCAAATGAAGAAGAGAAAGGGAGGGAAGGAAAGAAAGAAAGAAAGAAAGAAAGAAAGAAAAGGAAGTATGGAACTACAGAGCGAAGGAAGGAAGGAAAGAGAAAGAGAGGGAAGAAAGGAGACAAAGAGGAAGGAAAAGAAAAAGGGAGGAGAGAAGGAAAGAAAAAAGGGAAGGGAGGAAAGACGCAGCAAAGGAAAAAGAGAAAGAAGGAGAGAATGATTCAGGGAAGGAAATAAATAAGAAGGAAGGATGAAAGCAAACAGCTAAGGAAGGAAGTAAACAGGTAGAGAAGGAAGAAAGGAAAGAAGAAAACGGAATGAAGGAAGGAGTGAAAGAAGCAGAGAAAGAGGGAGAGAAGGCTGGCCACAGCAATGTGTGGCGGGTAAAGCTAGTATTAAAATAAATTGGTTTTTAGAAGCCTCTATGCTTCCAATTGGATCTTGATTATGATTGCTGCCTAAAGAATAAGCATTAGTTTGGCTTGAAAAAAAGGGAATGGACATGAAAGACATTTTAAAATCCCTTTGCTGTCTCTTTGTCTGCATACCTACCTGGCGCAAGTTTTTGTAAAAGTAATCTTCAAATGAAACAGTATGTGAATAATAGTGACCATTGTAACTGCTAAAAAATATATGTTTAAGTTGAATTTGCTGCAGCAAAGTTTTGTTCAATCTGAGAGAGGGTTGTTTTTTGTTTGTTTGTTTGTTTTACATTTTATCAATATTTGTTATGTCCCTATCAAGAAGTACATGGAACATAAGTATGGACTATTTTTTTTTAACAAAATAGATCCTTTGAATCTGAACTGCTAAGTATAATGTGCTACATATTGAGAAACTGGCAGAGGAGAACAAATTGGTACTGAATACAAAATGACATGGCTGTACCTGAATAAGAATAAACAGGAAAAAAATCACAAACAGTTTGAAATATTAAGTTAAAAAAAGATTTCACTGATGGTCCAGTCAGATTCTATAGGTGAAATTGCCTTGTTTGACAAAATTACTTGGGTGCAACCTTGAATGACAGTCTTCCATGAGGAGAGGCAGGTAAGAAATAATAATAATAATAATAATAATTATTATTATTATTATTATTATTTCCTCAAATCTCCACCAAAATACCAGTGACACAATATGCAGCCTTCTTTTCAAATTGCTGCCTTTAGCCTATAAAGCCCTATATGGTTCCGGCCCAGCTGACTGGTCTGAACGTATCTCCCTCTATGATCCATCATGGAGGTTAAGATCTTCTGGAGAGGCCCTGCTCTTGGTCCTGCCTCCGTCGCAAGTGCGGCTGGTGGGGATGAGAGACAGGGCCTTCTCAGTGGTGGCTCCTCAGTTCTGGAACTCTCTTCCCAGTGAAATTAGATCAGTGCCCTCCCTCCTGGCCTTCGGAAAGAAAACAAAGATTTGGTTGTGGGACCAAGCCTTTGGCCAGTAAAATAATAAAGTACAAAGAATAATCAGGAAATATGTGCAATGACAGTCAGAATGGCCATGGTGTATGATTTTTGGATCATGTGATTTTAATATTTATACTAGAATATTTTAATGCTTTGTCTTAATGCTTAAATGTTGTTTATGTCTTATGTTTAATGGTTTAAATTATTTTAGTGTTTAGTTATTATGATGTTTTTCTATCTACATGTATGTTGGCATTGAATTTTTGCCACTAGTATGTTGTAATCCACCTTGAGTCCCGTTCCCACCCCCACCCCACCCCCCGGGGTGAGAAAGCCGGTATATAAATATAGTAAATAAAAAAAATAAATTATTTATGTAAATCGTTGAGTAAATGAACTACCATATTTACTTGAGTCTACCCCCCCCCCCTTTTTTTGGCTAAAAAAACCTTGACATAATTAGGGTGCATATTAGATTATATGGTGCTCAAAATTGACTACCTTCCTCCCTTGATTTGTTGGGCTTTTGGGTACTTCAGAGATGCCCCTTCACCCTCCTCAAAAAGCCCCTTCAACTCCTCTACCTTTGCAGAATGTTGGCTGGTTTGAAGTGGAAAAGAGGTAAGGGAGAAGCATGACAGGTTCCTACTGGGTAATGGTGTCTTCTTCCTCTCTCTCCCTCTAAGTCAGCTTCTGTCCCTTCAGGAGGTTGGCTGCCACTCAGATTTAGTGGGTCCTGAAGGAAGGAGGGGGGAGTGAGGGAGGGAGAGGGAGGAAGAGGGGAAGGGTTGCTACCACCTTCCCAAGGGCAGGGAAGTGCTTGGCAATGTGTTTCCCCAATCTCCTTTTCACTAGGCAGAAGCAGCCTTGGAGGCTCCTCCTTTCTCTCTCCACCTGTGTCTCTCCAAACTCCTTTTCCCCAGAGAAGTAGCCTTGGAGGTGAGTGGTGGGAAAAGCTTCATGCCCCCAAAGGACAGTTCTTGTTTGAATACTGGAGTAAGAAGGGACCCAGGGGCCATCCAGTCACACCTCCTGCTACTCAGAATCACACAATCAAAGCACACATCCCTAACAGATGGCTATTGAGCCTCTGCAATTCCCAAAGTAGGAACGAGACTCCATCATGCCCCAAGTCAGCATCTTCCATGACTGAACAGCTTGGCTCCCATCTTTTCTCTCCCTCTGTGTGTCTCTATGGACTTGATGAGAAGCTGGAGCCCCATTGTGTCTCTTTTAGGTTGCCGGCAAGGAAGACTGGTGGTGGTGGTGGTGGTGGTGGTGTGTGTGTGGGGGGGGGGGGGGGGGGCGGTTGCCATGCTCTTGGGAAGGCACTGTAACCATCAGAGCTCAATGGTATAGGATCCCGGAATTTGTAGTTTGTTGAGGCACCAGCATTATCTGGCAAAGAAAGTTAAAGTCCTTAAATAACTGATCTTCCCATGACTCAAGTCAAGGGGTGCAGTGTTGTTGTTTTTTTGCTTTGAATATGTTTTTATGGATTTTAACTATGATTTTTAATTCTTTTTTAAAGTTTGCATTTTTGTAGATTTTAAATTGTATTTAAATGGTTTTAATGTAAGCTGCTTTGAGTCTCCTTGTGGAGAGAAAAGGTAAAAGGTAAAGGTTGTCCCCTGACATTAAGTCCAGTCATGTCTGACTCTGGGGTGTGGTGCTCATCTCCATTTCTAGGCCGAAGAGCCGGCGTTGTCCATAGACACCTCCAAGGTCATGTGGCCGGCATGACTGCATGGAGCGCCATGGAGAGAAAAAGTGGGGTATAAATAAACATAATAATAATAGCAGCATTGAGCCATAGTGGTTAAAGTGATGCCAAACTGCTAATTTTACAGTGTGGATGCACCCTATGTTGTTCATTGGGCTCTGTTAGGATTATTCAGAATGGTAACGGCACTCCTTGGCAGAGAAGGCTCAAGAACTTGCAAAACTACAGCTTCCATGATTCCATATTATGGAGTCAAGTAGTTCAATGGGTGTCAAGATACATTTCTTATATAGCATGGATGCACTCCAAGGAAGCTAAAGCAGGATCAGCAGTAGAGACACTTTGAAGGAAGGGCTATCAGTTTATCTGGTTTTCTTTTCCATCACTAGAAACCTTGGCATTCTAACACTTTTATATTTAAAGAAGGTTAAGTATATAGCATCTGTAACATATACCTTTTTTGGACAAACTACAAAGAATGAACTGTTTGCTGCCAACATTACATTTGCCAACAAATACTTTTTTTTAATTGCAAGTTATTGAAAATTGAGATGCGCCTTAGATTCAATGTCACATTAGATTCAAGTAAATACAGTATAACCCAGTTCTCAGTTTCAATTGCAAAGAAGGACATTACCCTTCCAGCTGTGACCTTAATTTGATTTGAAGCGCACCTTATACTTTCCTCGGGGTCTGTCTGGGAACACTTGAACATTCCCAGATCCCTCCGCACTCAGCACTTATTCTTTTCAGCCATTATACTGTTTTTTAAAATGTATAATATGATGGTATTTTTTATGCTTGTGGTTGATTTTATTTTGTCTTATTTTATTTAATTTTATTTTATTGTGTGTGTTCTAATCTGTATTTTTGGGCTTGTTCCCTTGTAACCCGTCCTGAGTCCCTTCAGGGAGATGGTGGTGAGATACAGAAATAAAGTTATTATTATTATTATTATTATTATTATTATTATTATTATTATTATTATTGAAGCTGTTGAGCTGAATACAAGATTATTTAGTTTAATTTTTTTCTAATGTTGTAATACAAAATATCGAGCAATTTTTCCAAAAGAAGATCTACAGTGGGGCTCCTTTGTATCTGCTGAAATTTGGTTCCAGGACCACAATCGCACTCTTCACCCCTGTATATACCAAAATCCACGGATACCTAAGTCCTATTATATACAATCTTGGACTAAAATGGAGTTCCTTGTATAAAAAGCCAAAGTCAAGGTTTGCTTTTTGGATATATATATATATATATATATATATATATATATATATAAGGGCTGGGCGGTTTCATTTCGTAATTTCGTAATTCGTTAAAAATTCGTTAAAAATTCGTTATTTTTTTTATAACGAAGCGATTTTGAACCATTCAGGAGCATCTAAAAAACGAAACGAATTTTTCAATTCGTTTCGTAATTGCTTCGTATTCGTTTCGTATTCGTTTCGTATTCGTTTCGAAATCGTTTCGAAATCGTTTCGTTATTATTTCCACATGTCTGCGGCAAGTTTTATAGCTGTTGTTTGTTTAATCAGTGAAAAAAAAAATTATAAATATCACACCAACAGTCAACAACAGAGGGAGAGGGAAGCTTCAGAAGTTCCCCCTGTCCCATTTGGAGGTTTTTTAGCATATTTCGCGGTCGCGTCCGCCATTAACGAATCAATTCGTATTTGTTTCTTATTCGTTTCATATTGTTTCGTAATTTTACGAAATTTCGTAAATATCGAACTTTTTTAAAGAAAAATTTCGGA